TAACACAGCAGCTACAAGCTAAAGGAGGCAGAACACTAGCTAAAAGTAGCAATATGCTAGCTATAAACTTAAGTGTAGAAAAAGTATCAAAAGGCTAGCTGGAAGTAGCTTAAGAGGACAAAAATAACGCCGGTATGCTGAGGCAGATTTCAAAAAGCACAATGCTTGTAAAATAATTAAATATATCTGTGTGTATAAAACAGAACAATATTATTTTTACACAAAGATGTTTGTCTTTACAGGTACAGTGCCATCACAGGAGAGTGGGCTCAAGACCAGATTCACATCAAAATGGCGGGACAGGTCCGACTTACTTTAAAAACTTTCTGCTGCGCAGTCTTTCCTGGTCTGATCTCATCTGATTCGTTTGCTTCTGTCTGATTTCTCACAGGCCTTTGGGAAAGGAGCCATGAGGGAGTGCTTCAGAGCGTAAGTCAAAACTATTTTTACACATTTATCACATCTCATCCAGATTGTTGCCCCCTTTTCCCTCTTGCAACAAATAATGATGTCGAGTCAGTGTAAACCAAACGGGAATATGGTGCTGACCTACACTCTTTGACTGAAGAGGCCTGCAGCTGGCGGATTCAGCATTTTCAAATTATTGTACTAAATTTAGCACATAGGGTTCGTTTCCAACTATTTTCTCATAAAAATGGCTCCACAGATGTTTACTATTGGGATAAAAATAGATGTTAAATCCGCTGCTTTATCTTGCTTTAATGTCTGAACGACAACGATAAATAAAAGAGGAAAAGGGTTTTAATCTAGGTTTTAACGTTTGATCCTCAGAATTGTGGTGAAAAATAACAGTGGATCCATTTAAACCACTTCAGGTGTTTGTCACTCAGTAAAAGCTCTCTCCTTGAAGACTTCCCTGGCCTCTACAAACCCAAACGTAAGGTCCTAACAGGAGAAACCATCATGGTTTGGTTTGTATTTCTTGCTGCAGACTGTAAATTAATTAAAGTTAAAAGAGGATTCCTTCATATGTTTCAAAGACTAAAAGCCCTGGGTGTGTTTAGAGACTTTTTAAGTGATATACTCCGATTAGATGTACTGTATTTTATTTATTTTTCCCCACTTTATTAGACATATTTGGACTGATGCGACGTATACGCTGGAAAATACGGTAATTGTTTTTGAGCTTTTGGTTGTTTTCCTCTCCAGGAAGAAGTTGTCCAACTTCTCACACAGCAGCAACTGGAAGTCGGCGTCCAACTATGTGGCCAAGCGTTACATGGAGACGGTGGACAGAGACGTCTACTTCGAGGACGTCAGGCTGCAGATGGAGGCCAAACTCTGGGGGGAGGAGTACAACCGTCACAGACCCCCCAAACAGGTTGTGGATTAGTTCACAATTATTTTACTGTCAATACAACTGGATGAAATAACGCTTCGTCGGTCTGCGTTCTAGCTAGCTGCTTGTTGAGCTACATGTTTTTAGTGTAAAAATGAGAGAGTCTGTTTTTAACGCTCCGTCCCTCTGATCTTGTCCTCAGGTGGACATCATGCAGATGTGCGTGGTGGAGATGACTCAACGACCCGGCAAGCCCCTCTTCCACCTGGAGCATTACATCGAGGGCAAGTACATCAAGTACAACTCCAACTCTGGCTTTGTGAGAGACGACAACATCCGTCTGACTCCGCAGGTGAGTGACGTCCGCTATCGGAAAGAAAAACTTCGTCTGACGGTGTCTTACAACCTCCCCTGTCCCGTCTTTCGTCCGTCAGGCCTTCAGCCACTTCACCTTTGAGCGGTCGGGCCATCAGCTGATCGTGGTGGACATTCAGGGAGTTGGAGACCTCTACACGGACCCTCAGATCCACACAGAGAAGGGGACGGACTTCGGAGATGGAAATCTAGGTAACCTCTTCGACAAACTGCTCGTTTCTCGCAGCGGAAACGACTCGAGGAGCTTCGCTCTGATGAAAGCTGTGTTCCAGGTGTGCGAGGCATGGCTCTGTTCTTCCACTCCCACCTGTGTAACAAGATCTGCAAGAGCATGGGCTTGACGCCTTTTGACCTCTCCCGGCCAGAGACGTCCCAGATGGACTGCACCAACAAGCTTCTTGTAATTTTAACTCTTTGATTTAAAGAAATCTATTTCCATCTCAGGCGCAGGATCACGACGACACGCACGCTTCTTCAGCTGACCTTTCTCAACTAAGATTCACCTCGTTTTCTCCCAGAAGTCGGCCCAGACGGTGCTGAGGGGCTGCGAGGAGGTCTGCGGCTCGCCTCGAGTTCGGACCTTGTCCGCAAGCCGGGCGCCCCCGCTGCTGTCCCGCCTGTCCGAGACCTCGTCTGCGGAGGAGAGCGCGAGCGACGCCGACTCCATCCCCTGCTCGCCTCTCACCCTGCCCTTCTCTCCCTTGGTGGCAGGCGGATTGATGGGCAAGTCCCCTTCAGGTACCTTTAAGATCATTTCACCGTGAATAAAGAGCACACCACATCAAGGGACTACCGGTTTGATAATACTTTTAATTACATCATTTTCCAGGTGT